CTCTTGGAAGGGACTTGAGGGATTACAAGCATTTGGGGGACTATGTAAAACCCCTCAGCTTCCCATGCTCTAATGTGTTTCCTCAGAAAACAGCAGCTTCAGCAATTGAAAGCCACATCATGCAAGTGTTCAAGTGTGAGAACAAGTCTCCAGCTCAGTGGCTGGTGTGCTGTCCCTGGAGCAGGGAGCTTCAGGCTTTGATCCACTCTCACATATGGACCAGTTCAATGGGACCTACTCTGCTGGAACATATGGACAGTTCTTGGGATTGCTCACATGCAGAAAACCCTGTGGAGTTTTCAGACAACTATAACATAGACATTTCAGAGGAATCTTCCTTCAGAGCAATTTTAGCATGCCTTGTGGACTCAATTCCCATCTAGGATTCCTGGGTGTGCACCCCAACCTCTCCTTGTTACAAAGCTGCAGATGAGGAGGATCAGACGCAGCCCTCCAAAAGCACACTGATTCGAATTCAAACAGCAGTTAAAATACACCCGCAGGTGGCTTGAAATCCTGCCCTTCTGCACGGAAACCCAGATCCCGCCTGCTTTCAGACGCCTTCCACGGCTGCTCAGTAGATGACATAACATTAGTCGTGACTTACTGACACAGGTATTCAACTAAATAAGGCGTGAAACAATGGAAAGGAAATGCCAAGGGTTTGACCAGCTCAGTCTCTGAGTTCGCTTGCGGTTCTGGGCAGTTCCTGCCTGCGCTGCTGTTGAGCCTTTCAGAGTTGTGCTTAGCTGGGGGAAGCCCCTCCAGCCCCTGGAAGCTGCGGCCGCTTCCAGCGGCGGATCCCGGCCGGCGGTCTCGGCCCACCGTCAGGGGGGCGGCCCTGCTGCAGCGCTTCCTGCATGCTGAGGAGGTGCGGGAGAAGCACGGGCGGCAGCCCCCGGAACCCCCCGGCTCCTGCACTGCACCTCTGCCCATCTTGCAGCTCCAGCCCGGAGCGGGTCCGGCGAGAGGTGCTCCCCAAACGCGGTCGCCAGCTGCTCGCGCGGCCCCCGGAGTGGGTTATTTGGAAATGGGAGGTTTTGGGAGGGTGGGGAAGCCCCGTCCCAGGGACTCGGCAGGTGGCGACAGAGCACGGGCTTTGGGGAGTGCCCGGCGCTGCGCAGCGCGGGCGGGGCGGGAGGGCGGCTCCACGGGACGCCCGGGGCAGGGGTGCGAACCTTCTTTCTGGAGGGCTTCCCGTGAGGATTAAATATTTGTTTTTGCAAATACTCTTCCAGAGAGATATAATGGTATTTTAACTTTTTCTTTTTTTTTTTTTTTTTTTTTTTTTTTTTTTTTTTTTTTTTTTTTTAATACATCTCGCACATATACGTTTCTAGATACAAACGTAGGAACAATCAGAGCATGTACAGAAGCCTAAAATCCAATAGGCAAGGCGCAGGCCACGGGAGGAAAAGGAGGGCTGCAGGCCGCTCCGCCAGCATCCTGGGCCGGCTCGGAGGGGCAAATCTGGCTCCGCATCCCCCGCGGCTGGGCCGCCAAGCGCTGCCTGCAGTGACGGGGAGCCCCGAGCCCTCAGTGGGGTGAACAGGCTGCGTCAGACCCGGGCACCGTTCGGGAGAGGAAGCCTGGAGCTCGGGCTGCCAGCATCCCGGCGGGATCCGTGGGATCGACCTGCCCGCAGCTCGCCGGGGAGCTGGACGGGGCAGGCATTTGGCCGAAAGGGCTGTCCGGCCTTACCCGCGGGGCGCTCGCAGGCAGCGCCCGGCCCTTTCCGGGATGCTCCCGGTTCCGTGCCCTCGAGTAGGGACTCGAATAATTTTTTTCCCACCTCCTTTGTCGGCCTCAAGGGAGAAGAAAAAAAGTCCTTCGAGACTCCATTCCTTAAAAATAAAAAAATAATAATAATAAAAAAAAAGCAGCATCCCTTCTGCCGCACAGTTCATTCGCCTCTTTCTCGAGTCCCTCGGAAAGCAAGATTAAAGGGGAAAGTCGCAGCTGTATATTTATGTTTTCATTGCTAGAAGGGAATTGATTTCCTTGCATTTATTTTTGTAGTTGCAATACACAAGGGCGGATTTGCGTCACCAAAGCAACTTGCTGGTCGAGATAAAGTTGCACAAATATTTGAAAGGGAAGTGCTCGCGCTCATTATGAAGTTTTTCTCCGGAAGAAATAAGGATTTCTGCTGTATCCTAAAATACTAAAGCCGCTTCTATTTTGGGACAAACCTCGCAGGCACATCCGCTCATTTAGTCCGAGTTGGAACCTCTCAAAAAACAGGAGATGACCTGGACTGCAAAGAGCCCCGCGTTTCCTTCAGCCTTCTCCCTCCTTGCACGGGGAGGAGGGGCCGCTGCCTCCCCTGGCAGCGCGGCCACGCAGCCCTGCGCGTCCGCGGGCAGACAGGGAGGCCCGCGGAGGCCTTTGGAGAAAAAGGACACCTTTGTCCCCAGGAAGAGGGGGAAGTCGGGGAGTGAGGCAGGTGCTCCTGGTTTCGGCCGCGAAGGATGCGAGAGTGCACAGCGCAGCCGAGCCCCGGGAAAGCACCTGCCCCCGCGGCCAGGACTCCCCGGTTCCCTCTCCCTCCCGAGGCGCAGCCCGGGGATGAAGGGTTTTAGTGCGAGGCATTCAGCGTTTCCTTTCGAGTTATTTTAGTGCCCGCGGGATGACAACGGGGTCCCGGTCACCGGCGGCTCCGAGGCAGCGGAGCCGCGGCCGTACCCGGGTCTGGTCTACCCGGCGTGCCCGCAAACGGGCCCGTCCCCCCGGTGCTGCTCATCCACGGGCCCTGCACGGCAGCGAGGCGAGAGGAGTTTTGAAATCACCTCCTAAAAGAAAAAAAAAAAAAAAAAAGGCAGGGTACACAAGTGAGGTGTTCAACTTTCCTCCTCTGGGAGTATTGACTCCATCAAACCTTGCTGATTTACCTCTGTCCTACTCCCTCCCCAGCCCTCCAGGGGAAATTTCAAGGAAAAAAAAAAAAAAAACCAAACAAACCCAAAACCAAAAAAAAAAAACCCAAAAACCAAAAAAACCCTAAAAGCAGCAAAAAACCCCACCGAGTTTGGTGGTGGGTTTTTTTTGTTTGTTTTTTTTTGGTTTTTTTTTTTTTGTTTTTGGTTTTTTTTGTTTTTTTTTTTTTTTGTTTTTTTTTTTTTCTTCTCCTTGACTGCCTGGTGAGCAGCCACAGGCCGGTCCAATGCTCCGGGGTAGCAGTGGTAATGGCAGCAATAATTTAACGAGACAGTTTGCGCCCAGGATGCAGCGCCCAAGGCACACTTCGTTGCCTGTCCCCCGGGCGGGCTGGCGGGGTGGCTCTGCCCAGCTGTGGGAACATGAGTGGAACCGAAGTCGTTCGATTCGGTTTGAGAGCAAGAGGATGTTGCTGGGGTCAGCTGCCGTGAGGGAGAAAGGGGGAGAGATGCAAGGAAACGGGGCTTTCCGATGTCGAGGCAGGAATAGTTGAGACATAACCAACACTTTATTTCGCTGCCTTTGGGTTTCGGACACACCTTGGCAAGCCAGCCCGTCTTCGTTTTTCGGTTTTGTCTCGTTAATAAGAACCAAACCAGAGCAAAGAGGTGCCTGGCTTTTCCCGGGGAGCCAGCCTCACCCTCACCCGTTACAGCACACGGTTATTGGCTAAGGAACATGTTCACTCTCGCTCGCAGGTGGTTTCAATATTCCCACAGAAGCTACATCTTCATACCTGGCGAAAGAAAAACAGTTCGCCTTTCTGGCGGTTCCCCCAACCCGTCAGAATTTGGGAAATGCTTTGGAAAAAAAAAAATTATATTTCTGAAACAAAATCAAAGCAAACTTACAATCGTCCGACCCGGCAGACTGCTCAAAACGACAGCGACTGCTTTACTTGTACGAAAACTAAAAATAAAGAAAGAGGTGATTTTCAGAGTCAGGTCAGGACAAGCACGATGTTACAGAGGAGGGAAAAAAAAATGTGCCAAAGATGCTTTCATAGATTTTTCCCTAAATCATTGCAGTGAATATAACATATGATTCTGGTGTACTGGAAAAAGTGGGGATAGTTCTGTCGTCAAAGGTTTGAGGAATTCTTAAGTAATTTTTAAGGTGTAATTGGTGTGCAAGCAGATGGAGCCACCGGGATGGAGAACCTGACAAAAATCTATCCCAAAATTACACTGTCGTCAAAACAATACCAGGTAATTAATCTCTGCTAATGCAGGACCCAAAGTGTCCTGGGCCCAGAATATCTGGGAGCTCTCGTAAATGCATATATTGCATGCATCAGCATGGACTGCTTCTCTTCCAGACTATCCCAGGCTCATTTATCCGGGAAGGAAACATATTTCCTTGAGAATCGTTTCCAAGAGGACAGGCTTGCTTCCAATAGCCAAGAATTTCCCCCCGCGTTTCTTTCAAACATTTGGAAATCGCGGCGGCAGCAAGCGCGGCGACCTTGCGCTGTAATTTTTTTTTTTTGGGGGGGGGGGTGCGGGGCGGGAAGGGGAAAAGTGGTTTTTCAAAGTCCAGAGCGCAATTTCAGGGGGTATAGGTGTGTGTAGGGGTGTACTTTGTGGGGCAAACCGCTCCGAATCGCGAGTCCGGAGCCCCAGAGCGGGCGCTGTGGGCGCGGTGGCCGAACCCGGCCCCGGCTCCGCGTGGGCGTGTCGGCGGGCGGTGATGCCCGGCCCCGCGGATCGCGGATTGGGCGTGGGGAGGGAGCGAGGGTTGCTCGCTGCCAGAGAAAGTTTTGTGGAGGGGTGGATGTTTTTTCTTCCCCCAGTGCGAGGAAAGGGGGTTTGGTTTGGGTTTGTTTTGTTTGCGTCGCTCTGCTCCTCGCCCGCTCGCTTTCTTCGTCTGACCGTGGGTTCTGGGGACTTTTTAATTTTCGGGGTTCATTTTTTCGTTTTATTTTCGGCATTTTTTGGTGGTTGGCGCTCCCTCTTTGCTCCTCCGAGAAGTGCTCTACCAGCCGCCTCTCGCCCCGCCATCTCTCCCCATGCGCCCGGGGCCGCGGGCAGCTCTGTGGCACACACCCGGGAGCTGAGCTGCGGAGCGGCACATCCCCTCCTCGGGCAGGATGTACACGGCCGGGCTGGCTCCTTTCTACGCCTCCAACTTCAGTTTGTGGTCAGCGGCGTATTGCTCTGCATCTGGGCCGGCGGCCGGCGGCTGCTTCCCGCTGGACGCCGCGGCGGCGAAGAAGCCGTCCTTCTGCATCGCCGACATCCTTCACGCCGGCGGCGAGGCGGCGGCCGGAGCCGCCGACAGCCTGCCCGGGGGACCCGGCACCGGGATGCCGGCCGCGCTGGGAGCCGTGCACCACGGTGGTCCCTTCCACGCCACGGCCTCGCCGCTCCGGCCCACGCCTGTCGTGGCCCCCGACGCCCCCGCCGCCGCCTTCCCGCCGCGCCTCTCGCCGGTCTCCGCCGCCTACCACTCCCACCACCACCGCCCCCCGCAGCACCGGTCCCCCACGGCGGCGGCAGCGGCGGCGGCGGGGGGCGGCGGAGGCGCCCCGGTCCCCGCCCGGCTGCCCGGCGGCCACACGCACAGCTCGGCGCCGGCGCCCGCTAGCAAGGACCTGAAATTCGGCATCGACCGCATTTTATCGGCGGAGTTTGACCCCAAAGTCAAGGAAGGCAACACGCTGAGAGGTAGAGAAATTAGCTTGTCTGCTTTCCCTGCTAACGCTGTCGATGCTGTTACTTGTGCTGTAATTAGAGACTACACCCGCGATTTGAAAACTTTTCGATCTAGGCTAGAAAATAATTATTTTTAAAAAAGCGCGTTATAAATCAAAGTTTCTAACAGCTCTCACTGAGCCTCCACCCCACGCCCTCCTCCCCGTCCCGGCCACCGCACGGCAGAGCTGGGGCGCAGGGCTTGTGCCCATGGGAAAATAGCGATAGCGTGAAAGTAACGAGTCCCTCACTTCCCGGAACGGCCGGGGATTTCTGCCTCCCAGAAGACAGCCCGTGTTAAAGGCTTTCGCTGCACTCCATCTCCCCTCGCGGCCTGTAAACATCCTGACCAAGGGAGTAAATAAGTCGGAGGCTGTCTCACTGCCGGGGCACGGCCGCCTCTTCCGAGGAGAGCCCTTGGGGGCGGGAGATGGCGGCTTGGAGCCCCTCCGACCGGGCACCCGCTCCGAGTCATGCCGGGTTGTCGGTCTTGACCGCGGTATAACAGAGCTCTCCTTGTTCCTGTGCTCGCAGATCTGACCTCCTTATTAACTACGAGCCGCCAAACTGGGGTTCATCTCCCCAACTTGCAGCCTTCCGCCGGCCAGTTCTTCGCGTCTCTAGACCCCATTAACGAGGCCTCCGCTATCCTGGGTCCCTTAAACACAAACCCAAGGAGCTCAGTGCAGCACCAGTTTCAAGACACTTTTCCAGGTACATCTCGTCCCTCCTCGACCCTCCCGTGGCACAGGACCCTCCGTCCTGGAGCAACCCCCTTCCTCCTGGAGGGACTCGCCAGGCAATTTTGCAAGGCCGGGGTGTGTGTAGCAAGGTTCAGATTTTGGGCGAAAGGTGAGCTGCGTGGGGGGGAGGAAGAGCTGCCTAGCTAGGGCCTGATCTAGAGGACCATCCCATCGAGTACAGGAATAACCTGGGCCGAGAGAGAAGAAGTGGGGAGGTGGGAGAGGAAGAAATTCGGGTTCCACACAGCTCCACCCGCACGTGAGGCAGCACAAGCTGACAGGACACGTACCCATCGGGCAGGCAGGGCCACGCTGGCCCGGGCCCTCCCTGCATACCGCACTCCAACTCTTATTCAGATAGATTTAAGGCTCCCTTTCAGGCTGCCATATTAATAACGCCATCTCCCCCTCTCTTCCCCCACTTTTCTCTTCCCCTCCCCAGGTCCGTACGCAGTTCTAACCAAGGACACGCTGCCCCAGACGTACAAGAGGAAACGCTCCTGGTCCAGGGCTGTTTTTTCCAACCTGCAGAGGAAAGGTTTAGAAAAACGGTTCGAAATCCAGAAGTATGTCACCAAACCAGACAGGAAGCAACTGGCGGCGATGCTGGGGCTGACAGATGCTCAAGTAAGAACGGCTTCGGTTTTATTTCAAACCTTACTTCCAGTTTAGATGAATACCAGAGGGCAGTGAGGTTTCAAGGTGATTTCCCTGCCTTTATCATGAGTGGGAAGTCTGTCTGAGGAGCTGCACCTTGCCCCGAGCATCTCTTGCGCCCAGGTTCCGTGGTGTACCCCAGCCCGGTGCGGAATTTTCGCCTCTGTGTTGGCCACCGAGGAGCAGGCCGGGCGGAGAGATGAGCGGAGCCAGGGCAAGCCATCAGTGTGCGCTTTACTGGAGTGCAATTTGCTGTAGGAGGCAGTTTAGGGGAAAGGAAGTAGAAGCGAAAACACTATTCTTAATATCCCTTTTTTTCCTTTTATTTTATTTTTCTTTTTTTTTTTTTTGATAAATCTTTCCTTGCGTTGTGAAATCCTTCGTTCTGAGGAAGTGAAAACATTTCCTCAAACGGAAGCATTAAACGCCACTCTGTAATGATTCCACTATTGAGGCCCGCAGCGCACAGAATTGTATAACGCTGTGGTTTCTTGAGCAAGATTTGGTTTCCTGGAAGAAGAAGTAGAAGGAAAGAGGAAAAAAAAATCCAAACAAACAAATAAACGGGGTGGGGTGTGTGCGGTATTTAAATACACAAAGTAGAAGGAGGAAAAAACAAAATAAAAATCCCTTTAGTCGCGTAAGGATGTGGGCAGCGAGAGGGGAGGACGGCGCCTCCTCATTTTCCCGCGTTGCCGGTCCTGGTGGAAGGGGTCGGGGCCGGGCGCTGCGAGGGGCGCAGTGCTGGGCGCGGTGGGGCCGTGTCGCCCGTCTAAGGGCGGCGCGGCCGCAGGTGAAGGTGTGGTTCCAGAACCGGCGGATGAAGTGGCGGCACTCCAAGGAAGCGCAGGCCCAGAAGGACAAGGAGCCGCCGCCGGAGCCGGAGCCGGCGGCCCAGCGAGCCGGCGCGCCGCCCGCCGCCCCCGGGGAGCCCGAGCGCAGCCCCAGCCGCTCCGACGGCGACGGCGACAGCGACAGCAGCGACGCTGAGTCCCTCGACATGGCCCCCAGCGACACGGAACGGACTGAGGGCGCCGAGCGGAGCCTGCCGGCCGCCGGGCTGGGCAAGTCCTCCGGCAGCACCGGCCTGCCTTCCCCCGCGCCCGCCGCCACCAGCCCCGAGCCGCGGAGCGGTCTATAGTCGGGGTAGCCCGGGACCTGTGGGCTAATTTATCTCCCTTCCCCCGCCCTGGGGAGCGGCAAGACCGGCCCAGCACCGGCCCCGGCCCGCTCCCGCCTGTAGCCAACGCCCGGCCCGGCCCGGCCCGGGGCGAGGGGCCGAGTATGCAGGCGGAGGGGGGAGCCCCAGCCCCGCGGCGGCGGAGCGTGAGGCGGCCGCCTTTCACTCAGAGCTGCTCGCAGGAGACCGGGGATTTTTCCCTTTTTTTTGGGGGGGGGGTTTTTTTTTTTTTTTTTTTTTTTTTTTTTTTTTTTTTTTTTTTTTAATTTTAATTTTCCGTTTCCCGCCCATCGTTCTCTCCAAGGGAAATCCGAACGAGGGACTGCGAGAACGCTCTCAGAAATCCCCACCTTTCCCCGCCCCACCCCCCAACCAATTTACAATGTGAAGTATTTTGTCAACGTCCTCATTGGTTGCAACTTGTTGCTTCGAATTATCCGGCCAAGAAATACTGCACTGACAAAATATATAAAT